TGAGGGGGCGGCGGGAGGCCTGCCTTGAACTTTGAGAAGCAAGGTGTGCTGGGAGAGAGTGGGAGATTTCTGATTATGGTTTTCCCTGAATGTTACTTGGGTGGGGAACATGTTTCAGAAAGGGCAGGTTATTGGGCCCCACGGAGAAGGCTCCCCACTGTAACCGTGTGGAGGGTTTCCACCCGGAGTGTCTGAGCAAAGGGCTCAGTCGTCCATCTGCACCCTCCACATCGCAGAGGGCTGCTGTCCCCCAGCCAACCCCGCCCCGGGGGCCTGGAATGTTTTCATTCCTCACTTGGCAGCAGTTTCACCCACTGCCATCAGACTGCGGGGCCTGGGGAAGCTCAGGACCCATCTTCCAATCCAGGTGTCTTCGTCTTTGACCGATCACAGTGACTTGAAGGGAGCCGTTTGTATAGGACACTGTGTCTTCGTGAGGCAGATGGACATTTGCTGCCAGGCGTGCCGGTGCGTGCTCCTGCCTGCATTGGTGCTGCCGTGTGAGCGCGTGGTGAGGAACAGGCTGTGGAAACCACCCACGGTTCTCAGCGAGTGCGTGTCTGTGCTGTGTTCTCCGCCCCAGGCAGTTCCAGGGTTACTGTCCCTGTTTCGTAGATGAGGAAACTGAAGCTCAGCAAGGGTAAGTGGGGGGCTGAGGACTCAGTCCCAGGGCAGCCCGACTTCCACGTCTTGGTCCCTTTCCTCTGCACCCAGTTGCACTTTTGCTCGTGTGCAGGTGTTTGGAACATGAAACGTGAGCAGGTTTTCAAACCTCCCACACGAGGTGAGCCAGTCTGTCATCCCGTTGTCTGTGCAGTGGCTTCTGCCTGGTGTGTGAATCGTTAGCAGCCGGGGCCTCTGCCCATGCTCTCTGCATCCGGGCCCAGCAGGATGTGCGTACAGCAAGTGGACAGCGGGGCCGCCTCCCCCCCGCCCCCCATTCCTCAGCCCTCTGACGCCGGCGGCTTTGTCATCCATCCCAGGAGGAGCAAGAGCGAGCTTCCGGTTTTCCTGCCCACTCAGTGGGTGGGGCGCCCTTCAACCCACCCACAGGGCTAGTGCACACACACTCACATACACCTCCGCGTTGTCAGCACTTCCCAGCAAGGAGCGTTTGATTAAAATGGCCAGAGGTGACCAGACATTTTGAAGGTAACGCCATAGTGACTCAGGAGTGTTAGGTGACATATCAAGGCAGCCGCAAACCCCTTCCCTCAGACCCAGGGACCCTGTCAGACTGATCTTCTGGGAATGTCAGCCTTAGGCCCCTGGGCTCACCCTGGGGACATCTCAGGATTGTCCCTTCACTGGCCTCGCCCTGGGGACATCTCAGGACTGTCCCTTCACTGGCCTCGCCCTGGGGACATCTCAGGACTGTCCCTTCACTGGGTCAGCGCCTGCGAGAGGCTGCTGACATCGGTCTCACCCATCACTGTCCCAGGCCTTGAAGGTGCTTGTCCATGCTGGGTGTGAGGTCAGTATGAGGACATGCAGTCAGCATATAGTACCGGCACCAACCTATGTCCAGCATGAGGGCATGCACTCAAGATAGTACCTGTGCCAACCTATGTCCAACATGAGGGCATGCACTCAACATAGTACCTGTGCCAACCTATGTCCAACATGAGGACATGCAGTTGACATAGTACCTGTGCCAACCTATGTCCAACATGAGGACAGAGGGCAGCATGTCTGCTTCACTACTTTGGGCCAGTTAGTAAGCCTGTCAGCTATAATATATGGTCTCAATTCCAAAATGGGGAAACTAGGAGTTCTTGAAGATTAAGCGATATGCTTCAGATGGTATGTGCGTGCTGGTAAGTCACTTCAAGTTCAGGCAGTAGAAAGCTCTGGCATTCGTACTCGGCTCAGAAGCAACTGCGGAGAGTGGTGCCCAGGGTCATGGCTGGTGACTCTTAGCCAGTCCTGACCATTTGCACTCCCTTGCTTGTTCCTCTTAGTTTCCTGCTGTCCCTTCTCTGGCCTCTTTCTTCACATGTCCCGGTGGCCCCTCCTCCTCCCAATAATGTCAGTGGGCAGCAGGATACTATGGGACCAGGGATTTTGACAGGATTGCATTGATTCATCATCACAATATTAAGTCTTTCAATCCATGAACATGAAATGTCTCTATTTCTTTGTGTCTTGTTTCATTTCTTTCAGCAACACCTCGTAGTTTTCAGTGTGCAAGTCTTTCCTTGGTTAAGTTTATTCCTAAGTATTTTATTCTTTTTTTGATGCCATTATAAGTGGAACTATTTTCTTAAGTATCTTTTCAGATTGCTCATTGTTAGTATATAGAAGCACAACTGATTTTTGTGTGTTCATTTTGAATCCTGCACCTTTGCTGCATTCACTTATTCTGACAGTTTTTGTGAGGGGGGATCTTTAGGATTTTCTGCGTATAAGGTCATGTCATCTGTGAACAGAGATAATGTTACTTCTCTTCTTTAACATGATGTCCTCTGTTCCTTTTTCCTGACTGACTGACCTGACTAGGACTTCCAGCACTACCAGTCTGTTGAGTAACAGTGGTGAGAGTGAGCACCCGTGTCTTGTTGCTGATCTTAGGGGAAAAGCTTTCCGTTTTCTCTGTTTAGTATGAGAAAAGCTGTGGGCTTTTAGTCTATGGCCTTTGTTATGTTGAGGTAGTTTCCTTCTATTCCTAGTTGTTTTTAGTGTTTTTATCATGAATGTTGTCCAGTGGTTTTCTGTATCAGTGGCAGTGATCGTGTGGGTTTTTCCCCTTTCGCTCTGTTGGGCAGACATTTTTATGGCGCTAAATTGTATGGAAATAGAGAAGTGAAGCTGATGAAGCTTTGTTCATCTTTTTAAGGAATTGGCTGGCGGGGAGAGGGACATTTTGACGTTAATATTAAAGGAGACCGAAACATGACACCCGACCCTGCCACAGACCTGTGACTCCTTTCCCCTGTCAAATAGTGTCCCATTATGTGCTGTGCATAAGGGGCAAGTGTTAATTGGTTAATTAAACATCTGAGCCCCCCTTTTAAGTGAGGATCCATAGTAACTGCCCATAAGGAATAGCTTTCCGAATAAATGGTGCGTTAGTGAGTGGGGTAGAGTGCGCCATTCACAAGTCAGTTGTGGGAGGCAGGCGTACAGTTAGGTCCGTGTTCTGCAGCAGGGAGAGCGGCCAACAATCATTTATGTGATTGCTGTGAAGTGTCCGAGGCATTTTATTCAGGAAGAAGACAAGTACATGTGGATGACATGATAATATCTGGGATGGTTTGCTTTGAAATAACCTGGTGGGAGTTGGAGGGGGAGAAGGCGTAAAGTTGAAACTACAGCAACCATATGTTAAGTTCATTATATATTCTTCACAATTTTGTATTGGTTTGAAATTTGTCATAATGAAAAGTTCAAAAAAGAAACTCAGTGTAAAGCAATGATGATGTGGCTTCATATCAAAATCTTATGTGGCCATTACAGTACACGTAGGAAGAATTAGCAAAAAAATCAGGGTCAGTTTTCCTAATGTGGTGCGTGTGTGCATATATATGCACATGTTTGCACAGAAAATACTGGGAAGGAAATACATTAAAACATTAACTGTGATTATCCTTGGCTGGTAGGACTATGGGTGGTTTTCGTTCTCTATATCTTCTAAACTTTCTACAGTGAACAAGAGAAAAACATAATTTCTGAAAACGTTTTTTTTGTTGTTGTTGTTTTTTGAGAGAAAGGAACCAAATCTGCATTCTGTAAACTAGTTAAAGGATGTTTTGTTTTATTTCAGTTTACATTCAACCCCATTCTGTATTAGCTTCAGTTGTACAACAAAGTGTCCAGAAAATCACGTACTCTACACAGTGGTCCCCCACTGCCTCAAGCCCCCCCCCCCGCCCCCAGCCCATACCATCTGTCTTGATATCATTGACTACATTCCCCGTGCTGTAATCCACATCTCTACGGCTGTTCTGCAACTAAATGGGTGAAGCATTTGTTCCTGCTATCTGTTTTCTATGCAGTTGCTCTGTCGGCGAATGGTTAAATGCCTGTGTGGCTGCTAATCTGGAGCTGTCGATGTGTTTGGGGGCTGCACTGTCCCGTATTCTGCCATAGAACCTGCCTTTGCTGGTGTGGGCAGGCGAGGTCATAGACAGAAAGCAGTCACCACCACCATTTTTCTCACTGTTAACTTCTGTTAAACATGTCCCTTTAATGTGAATTTCCATCTGGTTTTAGGGAGCTGGACATGATTTCCACAAGGGTGATGGACTTCAAGCTTCGGGAGGCTGCCGAAGGCCTGGGGGAGGACAGCACAGGTAAGGCCTCGCTTCCCCTGCTCTGGGCAGAGTCCTCACTGGGTTGTGGGGCAGGGGGAGGGACTGACAGAACCAGACCATTGGGGTTCTCTGCATGGAGAGCGGGGGTTCAGTTCACAGCATGCTCAGACACCCCCGGGGTCCCGAGGCCAGAGGACCTGCAATGCCGGGGGTCCTCCTTTGCTTTTGTCAGACGTGGAGGGCAGGTTAGAGTCATTTTCCTCCTTCCCGTCCCCATGTTTGATTGACTTGAGAGGTGCAGTGGAATCGTTTATTATCCAGAACATCTGAAGGTACCAGCAGGAGGTTGGCAACGTATATGGTAGCCTGATCGTCCAGAAGAATAGAATAACAAAGCCTTTGAATCCGCTTTTTTGGCTACTCTTTTTCAGGAGACCTTATTACATCCTCTACTGAGCTAAATGCCAGGCCCATGAAGCACCATCTCACAACATGTCCTGAGAGTGACCCGATTATTTGATTGGTTTACCACTACTCATAGATTGCTGCTTATGTCTTGACCGAGTTGTAAAATTGACCTTAGAAATCATCGCTCTTCCTACAATGTACCTTTTCCATAGATTAGCCATTTATACTCACCTTATTTTGGTAACAAAGGTCTCCATCTCTCTCTCTTTAAAGTCAAAATGCTAGACGTCATTTTTAAATATAGTTCAGGGGAAATAGCTTCAATAATATTAAATTCTAGCTTCCAATTACTAATTATATTAAAGACTCTATTTCATATATTTTCAATAGATTTTTCTTAGTCTAAATTAGGACTGCTTTTTCTCTGTCACATGTCAATAAATATCATATAGGTAGATTGTAGATAGCTTTTTCTTATTATTCCATGTTAGAACTACTTTTTCTTTATCATAATTGAATAGGTAACCCCCGCCCCTCCCAATACAGATAATAGGTGGGGTTTTTTTAATTAACCCTGAGAAAAAATGAGTTGCAAAATTTCATATTATGGGGCACTGAATTAGTACTAATTTTAAACAAGAAAATACTGTTTAAAGAAGTAGTTCGGCCCTAACCAGTTTGGCTCTGTGGATCCTCGGCCTGAAGACTGAAAGGTCCCAGGTTCGATTCTAGTCAAGGGCATGTACCTTGGTTGCGGTACATCCCCAGTAGGGGGTGTGCAGGCAGCAGCGGATCAATGTTTCTCTCTCATCGATGTTTCTAACTCTCTATCCCTCTCCCTTCCTCTCTGTGAAAAATAAATAAAATATATTTTTTAAAAAAAGAAGTAGTTCATTCACCTGAAACTACACCCATAACTACTAATTTGGGGTACTTACCAAGGTCACCATGAAGAATTTATTTTTAAAAAGAAAGAGAGAAACTAAGTTTTTTCCCCCAAATAATAGTGAAGCGAGTTATTCAACCTCTTCCCATTTAAAATGTAAAATTCTAGGTAAGAGCATTCTTTTAAACCCTCTTTAAAAGCACACATCAGAAGCAATGAGCCCAGAATTAGAGAAAAACGGAAACCTGAGCATAGAAGCCACCTTTGCCCTCAGATCATTTACCAATCTTGGAAATTTCGAGTTTCATTTTTGTCTTCATGAAGTAGTAAGAGAGGGAGAGGGTCATATGTCAAGTACAGACCTGTACAAGGTGGGCCGTCTGCTAGAAGAGCTTCCCTAAAACCAGCTGGGGGCCTGAGGAGCCACAAAATTTGAATAAGTGTGAACCAGAGGTCGGTCATAGTTGTGTGGATTTATAGCCTGCGTTGGCATCACTTGGGTAACTCAGAGACCCTCAAGCCTTGAGCTTGGCTCAGAGTATTTCTAGACTGAAGGTGGCCTGAGGTACCTTGCAGAAGGAAGCAGTCTTCTCTAAAGTAAGGTGCCTTCTATCTAGACTCCAAGTTACTACGTTAGTAATTAGTACTGTCAGTTCTATGACACACTTCTCAGTGATAACCAGGCAGATTGGGCAACAAGCACCATGAATGAGAACCAACCTGTTATAGGTTGAATTGTGTGCCTCTGAAATTCATATATTGTAGTCCTGACCCCCAGGACCTCAGAATGTGACCCTGTTTGGAAACTGGGTCTTTGCAGAGGTAGTTGTTTAGACAAGATCATACTGGAGTAGGTGGGCCCCCGATCTACAGTGACCGATGTCCTTATCGAAAGGGGAAATTGAGATGTAGGCACACACTCGGAGAACACCAGGTGAAGATGAAGTCAGAGATTAGGGTGACGGCAGCTACAGGGCAAAGAACGCCAGATTGACAGCAAACACCCACAGTTGGGGAGAGACATGGAATGGAGTTCTCCATCATAACCCTTTGAAGGAACTAACCATGCCAGCAACACCTTGATCTCAGACATGTAGCCTCCAGAACTGAGACCATAGCAGCTCTGCTGTTTAGGCCCCCAGTCTGTGGTACTTCATCGCGGCAATCCTAGCGAACTGATACACAGCAGAGAAACAGACACACATGACACTGAGTGTCAGAATTATCAAATACGTGCTATAAAACCATCACCACACTGTGGTTGAAGATAACAAATAAAAGTTTGAAAATATATGGAAGTAACGGAACCGTAAGAAGTCTCATAGCACCCAGCCAGTGCCCTAAGGCACGAGAAAGAAATAAAGGGGATCCAGGTGGAAAGAAGAAATAAAACTCTGACTATAGAAAATATCAAAAAGTACCTAGAACTCTTAAGCAAAGTTAGCAAGTTGGCACTAAATACGTGGTCAATATTTTTAAAACTGTAATTTTATATACTAACAATGAAGAATTAAAAATTGACATGTAAAAAAGGTGCCATTTACAGTAGTACCAATCAAAGAAATACTTAGGTATATATCTAACAAAGTATAGGTAGGATCTGTAGACTGAAAGATATAAAATATTATTTGAAGAAAGCAACAAAGACCCACATACGTGGAGAGATGCACTATGTGTTATGGACTGAATGTTTGTGTCCCTCCAAAATTCATAGGTTAAAATCCTAACCGCCTGATATGGTGCTGTTTGGAGGTGGGGGCTTCGGGAGGTGATTAAGTCTGGAGGGTAGAGCCTTGTGGATGGGATTACTGCCCTTACAGGGTGAGGCCGGAGAGCCACTCGCTGCCTTCCTGCCATGTGAGGACACGACGGGAATGGACAGACTGCAGCCCAGCAGAGCGCTCTCAGCAGCACCCTCCGCGCTGGTGGAGTTGTTCTTATTAACATATCAGCCATTACAGTGAGCGCAAGGAGACTAATTACATTCATTGTTCCACTTAGAAGTTAAAGATCATCAGATTGAATTTCTAAAACGAATTCTCTTAAACAAAAGGACAGAAAAACATGTACGTTGCAAATACTGGGCAAAAGGAAGCTGGTGTAGCTCTATTAATAGCGGTCAAAATAAAATTTAAGGCAAAAAGCATTACTAACATTAAAGAGGGCTTTTCACAAAAGGTTTGATTTTGGACCAGATAATAATTTTACCTTTCTATGCACCAACATAATGTCGAAGTTTATAGAGTAAAAATTGACAATTAAATAAAGTGGATGTAATCTACAATCAGAGTGGGTTATTTTTGGTATAATGTATCAGTAATTTGTAGAACAAATGTATTTAAAAATTAAAGATATAAAGTAGACAACACAAATAAAAAGACCTTATCCTACTTGACACATATAAAACATTGAAATAATGTATTATTTTTCCAGCACACGAGGAACATTTACAAACTTAAGCAAGTCTCAACAAAACTGAACAGATTCAGGCTATACGGAGTATATTCTCTGACCACAATACAGTTAAACTAGAAATCATTAACAGAAAGATAAGAAAATTCTGAAGTGCTGAGAAATTGCCTAAAATTAATAAATTGCCTAAAAATTAACAAGCTAAATATTCATCTCATGAAATTTAAAAAGTTAGCAAAGTAAACCCAAAGAAAGTAGAAGTAAAGAATAAAGAGAGGAATAGACATGAGTGCAAGTAAAATCAACAAACCTCTGATGCAGCTGATCAAGGAAAAAGAGGAGGCACAGATAATTAACATCAGGGCTGAGAAAGAGAACTTTATTACAGACAGGGCGGATGCTAAAACAGTAAGAAGTTACTATTCATAACTACATGCCAATAACTTTGAAAATTTGAGAA